GCTACTTGGGAGGCTGAGGCAGGAGACTCGCTTGAGCCCAGGAGTTGGAGGTTAATGTGAGCGTGATGCCATGGCACTCTACCCAGGGGGATAGCTTGAGGCTCCGTCTCAAAGAAAAAAAAACCCTTTGCTGTATAAGGCAATGTACTCCCAGACTCCAATGAGTAGGATGTGGATATCTTTGGGGAATCCTTCTTCTGCCTGCCACCCTACCCTACTTTTATTTTATTTATTTATTTATTCATTCATTCATTCATTCATTCATTCATTTATTTTGGAACACAGTCTTACTCTGTTGCCCAGGCTAGAGTGCCATGTCATCAGCCTAGCTCACAGCAGCCTCAAACTCCTGGGCTCAAGAGCTCCTCCTGCCTCAGCCTCCAAAGTAGCTAGGAGTATAAGTGCACACCATGACACCCAGTTAGTTTTTCTATTTTTGGTGCAGACAGCATCTTGCTGTTGCTCAAGCTGGCCTCAAACTCCTGAGCTCAAGCAATCCACCCTCCTCAGCCTCCCAGAGTGCTGAGATTACAGGCATGGCCACCAAGCCTGTCTTCTAGCCTACTTTTAGTCTTTAAATGTGGTTGGGCTGGAGACTCATTCCCTGATGCCAAGGTAGGAGATATTTCCAAGGCCTAAATCAGTCAAAGAATTCTAACCACTTTCTCCTCTTCCCCAGCTAGCCAGTGATAACCCCCATGGTGGGACATGTGAACAGCCTGAATGCATCCCAGGGTTTGTGCAGGAGAGAAACAAAAGAGGAGTTTAAGTTAGAGCTGCTGGTGATCACCGCTAGGAATGGGGGTGTCCAGTAGGATGACCAACCATTCCAGTTTGCCTGAGATTAAGGGAAAACAAGACTTTGGAGGCTAAAACCAGGTCTGTTCCAGGCAAACCAAAAGGATTTTGTCATCCTAGTGTCAACAAAAGGTGGGCCAAGGGTTGGGAAGAGAAAAACTCAGCCTTTGTGTTATCATTTAAGTCCTTTGATCCAGCCATGCCTCAAGCAAGCCAAACTCTACTTATATGAGCTAACAAAATTCTCTTTCTGCTGAATCCAGTTTGGGTTGAAATTTCCACTCTTTCCAACAGAAAGATTCTTAAATAATACAGCATGGGAGCTTTTTCAGAACCACAGAGGGTATTGGAAATGGAAAAGGGGCTGTTCAGTCTAGAAGAAAAGAGGCACCCACCGCCAGCTTTGCCTGCCTCTCCCGTTCCTTCTCCGTCCGGAAGCGCTGTTGCTCAGCTCTCTCAGCCCGGCGCCTCTCCTGGAGGAGGAAGAAGAAGGTAGGGGTGCAGAAACCCCCTTCCCCAGTAATCCCTCCCCAGAGTAGGCTAAAGTGGAGCTAACACAGGGTTGATCGTGGGTAAATGGGGTAAATTCCCGTTAGTTCCAAAGACCTGAGGGACCCGCAGAGAGCAAGGAAAAAAGGGGTGGGGAGGGGTTACCGGGCAGCTGACACACACACATACACACACTCACAATGCGGTCTTTCAGTGCAATCAGCTCCTCTTCCTCCTTCTTCCGCTGCTCGAAATGCACGTCGATGAGCGTCTGCAGCTCCAGCAGGTCCTTCTCCATGCGCTTCCGGTGGATGTCCTATGGGCAGAGGCGCAGCCCCTTGGGACCCTGAGAAGCACCGGAGCCCTCCCTTCCCAGCAAGAGGCGTTCTAGGACGTCCCAGCAGATGACAGCCAGGCATTATGTTCTGACACTGAACGATTATCCCAAAAGCGGGAATAAGGAGGTGCCTTTTCCTAAAGGGCAGAAAGGTGCTCTAAAGACAAGTTAGCAACGTGCCTGAGGCCGGGGAGTTACTTACATCGAAGTCCACACGCTCCCCTTCTGGGATCTTAGGGGGTATCAAAGGAGGCACCATTGGACGGCTGAATGGACGGAGGGGGATGAAGAACATGAGTAGCCCCACCTTACTGGCCCCACCAGGGACTGCAGCTATCCCCTGTGGCAGACACTGAGCCAGCCCTGACTCCTGACTCCCAACTCCCTTAAATGTGGGGGGTCCGAATTGAAAAGAACCTTCACGGGGCAGCAGAAGGATGGAAATACCTCATTAGAAATATTTTCTATTTGACTACATCTTGGAGTGGTAAAATCTCAGATATAACAGCCTTAATAGAATATGCTATGTAAATTAATTTTACCTGCTTCTTTGTACTTAAAGAATGTGCCTAGTAAAAGAATTTCAGTTAAGGTCTCTTTGGTTTCCTCCCATTGGCTCTCCCACCTCCTGGGAATTCTCCCTTTCCTCAGTTTCTGAGGCAGCACCTTTTCCCCATCTGCCTTCCACCTCTCTGGCTGTCCCATCTCTATCTCTTTGTCCCTCTTTGAAGCCTCAAGTGGTTTCCTCTGCCCCTCCTCTTCACTCCGAGACACTCTCATGGTGGATAGAATTCACTCCAGTAACAGCAGTCATCATCCTTTAGGGAGGACTCCCCAACTCTGTCTCCAGCTCAGACTCTGTCCTGAGCACCAAGCTCACATTAAGAGATGTCTCCAGAATATTTCCCACCTTCCCACCCACTGTCCTCCAATGAGGCTCCCCAACTTCTCCAAGAAGGAGGCTGCAGCTCCAGCATCTGTTTAGTTCCCCAGCCCAGAGGGTTCTGGGAGTTGTCCTCACCTCCTCCTCTTCTGGCCCCAGTAATTTTCATGGTCCCTGCCCCAGCTTAAGGCACTTCCCCTCACACCTGCACCATACTCCAGCCTCTTCTCTGGCCTCCCTGCCTCCAGCATGTCATCTATTCTCCTTTATGACTCCAGAGGGACCTTTCTCATACCCAGCACTAACCCCGACCGTCCCCTTGAGGCCACAATATCTTTAGCATAAGGTACAGCAACCGGCCTGGGGTTCAAAGCCCTTCCCCATCTGGCCCCAGCCAACTTCCCCACCATCTTCTCCCCTCACTCACAGACACACACATTTCCTGGTTCCCCGGCCATATCATGCACTTTTGCACCCCCAGGCCTTTGGGCAGTGGTGCTGTGCCCTCTGCCTGCAATGCCCTTCCCCTGCCATACTCCACCTGGTGGCCTCACCTACACCAACAAGCCCTCCCTGACCCTGAAGCACACCTGTGTTCCCAGGTGCTTCTGTGCTCTCTCACCTAGAGCTGGGCCAGTGGTACCTCTGCTCAAAACCTTTCCATGGTTCCCAGGAGAGAAGTGAAGCCCTACCCCTTGGTTCCATGGCCCTGCCTCTTCTTGAATCCTATACTCTAGCCATAATGAAATCACACCACTGCCCACCCAGGCCCACAGAAGTTCTGCCTCTGGTATTTTCCCCTACATGGATTGCTTCTTCCTTGTATTTCCAAGCCTTGGCCCCAGTATCAACCCGCTACCCAATCCCCAGCCCTCCTCTCACCACTGTGGGCTCTCATTTTGTTTTTTGTTTTTTGAGACAAGCTGTCATCCTGGATAGAGGACCGTGGTGTTATAGCTCACAGGAACCTCCAACTCCTGGGCTCAAGTGATCCTCTTACCCCAGGTTTTCTTTTTTCTATTTTTAGTAGAGACAGGGGTCTCACTTTTGCTCAGGCTGGTCTCAAACTCATGAGCTCAAGCAATCTACTCTGCCTCCCAGAGTGCTAAGATTATAGGCCTAAGCCACCATACCAGGCCAGCACTGTGGGCTCTCAATGATCCTTTTCCACATCCACATCTGTTCCCAGGACTAGTCTCTATCCAGCCACTGGACACTGCACATACCACAGATTTCTCTGTCAGCAATGTCCCTTCTACCTTCTTCAGGTAGTGAAGACTTTGTCACTCAGGACTTAGGCATCACCTCCCATGGAAAGCCTTCCTGGATTACCTCAGGCAAACATAGCTCCCCACCCCTGTGCTATTCTGCTACCCTGGGCTTCCATCACTGTGTCTGGGTCTGTTTCCCCAGTGAGGCAGCAGACATGGTTGACCCGCCAAACACAGTGGGAAGTTCCCAGAAATGTTTGCTGGAAGAAGGAGTGGTTGACTGTTGTCTTCTTTTTGTCAGTTTTCCCCCTCCATCTCTGCCTTTCCTGAGCCCTGTCCCTGGAGGTGGAGGGAATATGTAAGATGATGTGAATGGGACCCACAGACCCATAGGATCTCACCTTGGTCTGGGGCGCTCCTCTTCTGTTGGTGTGGGGAACACAAAGACATAATTAGCTAGAGTTTTAGGTTTAGAACTAGGCCTGACACACCCTGGAAAGGGAGCCCACCCGCAAGCCTCGGCCCCCAGGAGCCCAGGGGAGAACTCTGGAGTCCAGTTCTGGGGGACGGGTATAGGGAGAAGAAAAGGGGGAATGGAAGACAGGGTGGCCATAGGATGAGGAGGGGCACACGCATCAGATATACATTCAGAACTGGTGTGGGACCTCCCACCCTGGCTTTCTGGGAACCCAGGAGGCCAACCCCCCCCCCCGACCTTTTTCCATTTATATATCCAAAGCTTCTTCCCTCCTCCATCAGAACCCAGCAGTGCGAGGGTCCAACCTCTCTCTTCATTCAGTGACCCCAGAGTTCTGTCCCCAGCCCCCTTCCTCTTGGGAACACAGGACTTCCAGTTCTGCAGCCCTAAATTCCAACCCCCAAGCTTTGAATGTATATGAGGGAGAAAATATCAGACAAAGATAAGAGGGGATGGGATGATGACTCTCCGCAAACATCCAACCCTTCTATAATTATTCCTCCAGGCTGGGGAAGAAGGCTTGGGTGTCGGTCCCTTTAAGAAGGAAGGGAAAGGGTTAAAGCCATTGTCTGGCAATTTCCCTTCGCGGCCACAAGAGGGCTCCAGGCTCTCCTGGGCTTAAAGGACCGGGCCTGGGGGTAGGTTAGCGGGTAGAGGTGGGGGAAGATCTGGGAAGTAGAGGCCAGATGACATCGGGGGTCCCTCGGGGCCCCCGAAATCGGTCTCGGGAAGCGAAGCAGCCGCAGTTACCTCGCTCTGCCACCGGCTCCGGCTCTTCGGGAGCTGGGGGGTGGGGGTGGCGGGAGAAGCGAGGGTGTGGGGAGTGCAGGAGGGGAGCGGCCATACGCGGGCGGGAGAGGAGAAAGGAGAGACCGAGAGGCTGTTAAAGGACCAGGGGCCGAGGCCCTCGGGAGCCCCCGCCTCCGCCCCTGGCTCGAGCGTCCCGGCCCCACCCGGCCCCGGGGCCTGGGCGTGAAGCTCCAACCTCACCTTCCTCCTCCTCCGCAGCCTCCTCTTCTAGAAGGAGATGGGGGCAGAGAGGAGGAGGTGTTAGGACATCAAGGGAGTTGGGGGAGGGATGGGTAGCCAGAGACCAGGGTTTGAGTCTCAGCAGGGCAGGGTGACGCCTCCGGGCTTTGGCTGCACACCGGCACAGGAGGTCTTCCCACCGCTGCACAGAGCCTGGACTGCCGAGCTGGCGGCGAGTTAGCCCTTGGGAACCCGCCCCCTTCCACGAGGTGCCGCACCTCCTAAATCCTCCTGCATGCTAGGATTCGAGCGGTGTCCCCACCCCCTAAGGCCAGCCCACGCCTCACTTACCTTCTGGCTGCTCCCTGAGGACCCGGGGTCAGGAGGACAGAAGGGTGGAGAGTTAGTCATTTTGTGGGGAGTAGGAGGGTCTCTCTACTTCAAGCCACCACCACCACCCGCCCCCGGTCAGCATCACTCACTCCTCATATTCCTGCTCTTCGGTGTCTGACATCCTGGTGTGACCTAAGGCCAAAGGAAAACGGCGGAGTGGGGTGGGGTCCCGAAGGAGGAGAGGTCTGGGTGCCCGAACCCCCGGGTCTGAGGGAGGAGGGGCAGGTCATGTAATCGTAGGCCGAGACTGGGGACAGGGCACGAGAGTTGTGGTCTGGGCGGAGACCGGAGCCGCAGACCCCGCCCCCTACCACAGCTGTCCTCTTTTGTCTTATGACAAGTCCAAGGAACCCGATCTGAGTTGGGATTAGGAAGAGGTATTTGAGAAGGGACAGTGGCCTGAAGACAATAGTTGCCCCACCCCTAGGGGCTATTTTAGGGGAATGCCGCAGACGGTGAAAGAGAGGACATTTCCTAACAAGGAATTTGAGGAGAGGGGGCTTGGGGACAATGAGTCACGCCTGTCCCCTCTCCCACCTAGCTCCTCCCCTTTGGCTGGTTATCTTCCCACCTGTCACCTCTTTTCACCTTCACCCATACCCATGGAGGAGATGGGTGCATTCTGCCCTGCACCTCATCCTGACCCTACATACTTGAAATCTCCCAGCTTTTCAGATCCCCAAGGCACTCCCCAGGTTAAGAGGCCCTCCAAATTCCAATATCCACAAATTCTGAGAACCCAGTTTATGATGCCCTAGTCTCTGACCCCAGCCAATCCTCATATCTCCAGATTGAGACCACAATT